TGGATTTATAAACAATGGCTACTCCCCCCCACGCCCCTCCAGTCTACCCTGGTGTTGGACAGCATAACCGGACGGACAGACAAGAGCCAGGGGAGGACCCCCTCCCCGCTGATCCATGTCTCAGTTATGCATGCCAAATCTGCATTCTCCTCCAGGATAAGATCGTGAATCACCTGGGGCTTGTTGGCTACAGACCTGGCGTTCAACAGTATCAGAGTTAGAGTGGAGGGCTGGCTGGGCTGGCTACCTCAATACTGAGGGTTGGTCACAGTCTCAGAACAACAGACAGCCTTCAAACATCTGTTTGTTGTTCTGACACGAGTAGGGACTGTGCCAACGCCATATCTCCCTCTACCCGTGATCACCAGGATGTTAAAAGGCCCCTCGCTGGGCAAGCAGGCCTTCCACTCCATATCAACAGAGATTTTCTGTCCCTTAGTTCAGTCACCAATCTAACTGGAGACTGCAGCCAAGAATTCAGAAGACGGCTGAGACTCAGAAGGGCAGCAATGAAGGAATTAGAAAAGACCATCACGTGTAAGGATATATCACTAGAGACCAAGACCAAGGTCATCCACACTCTTGTATTTCTGATCACCATGTATGGGTGTGAAAGCTGGGTAGTCAAGAAACCTGACAGAAACCAAATGGATTCATTTGAAATGTGGTGCTGGAGGGGAGCTTTGTGGAGATTGGACTGTCAGAAAGACAAGTGAATCAAATGTAGGCTGAACTATCTCTGGAGGCAAAGATGTTGAAACTGAGGCTGCCCTACTTTGGGCACATCATGAGAAGGCAAGATTCTCTGGAAAAGACAATAATGCTGGGGATATTTGGAGGCAGCAGGAAAAGAGGAAGACCAAACACAAGATGGATTGACTCCCTAAAGGAACCCATAGCCTTGAATTTGCAAGAGCTGAGGGGGGGGTGTTGAGGACAGGGCATTTTGGAGATCTTTCATCCATAGAGTCTCCATAGGTCAGAGGCGACTTGATGGCACAAAACAATAGCAAATAGCAGGATAAGGATCCTGGACTGCAACTTCCATCATTCCTCACCATTCCATATTGTAGTTTGGTGGGAGTTGCAGCCCAACCCACATCTGGAGGGCCACAGCGCCCCACCCCCAGTATCGTAATTTGCATTCTACTTCGGCATCCAAGTAAGCGTGTTTCTTTTTCCAAAGATCTAGGAGCCCTTTATATTGAAACATAGCCTTCTAAATAGCGCTTGTGAATACTTAGCCCAGCCATAAGAAGAAAACTAGGTTGGTAATAAAGATTGGGGGGGGGGATTGTGGGATTATTAGTATCACCTCCAGCAACAGGGGCACAAGAAACCTGGGGATGATTTGAGGAGATTGCCACTCACTCAGCTTTGCCCTCATACTGTCATATAGCTTCTTCCACCCACCTTCCCCAAAGACATTTTTGACAGCACCTGTGGAAAGCAAAGCAATTAAATGCTAGGAACTACGACAAAGCTTTTTTTCCTAACTGAGCTTTCCTGCTAGCAGGGTTGACCAAAGGACTCGTTGCTCTCACCTTTAACTTCTCTGAAACCTTTAAGTAAATGCCTTGCAATGCAAATCTCCACAATACTTTTGGGAAAACACTCCAGTCCCGTGCCCACCTTTCACTATGCCAGAGTGCTTTGACTGAAATAACATGGTCTTGCCCTATTTTTAAGGGCCTCCTTTATCTTTTGTCCACCATATCACTTTTTAGATCAGGAGTGAACAACTTTGGTGGGCCTAAGGGTCAGATCTTTGCCCCAGGATCCAGCTTGGGCCATATCTGCTCTGGAAATAGCAAAATAATGCCCCCGATCTGTTAAACACCTAAACTAATAACACCCAGACAACCATTTCTGGTTTTGATTTTTGCCTTGAAGGAGTTGGAGAGATACTTGAATAACCTTCCATGACCTGCTTTAAAGGGATAAAAAAGTTAATCAAATAAACAGTATTGCCTAGTTGATTTGTCAAAGGTCTGTGTGACCTCTGTCACCGGACTAGGAAGAACATTTAGTTTCAAAAGAAGGCAGTGGCGAAGTGGGAAATGCTGAAAACGTGACAGCTCTTTCTTTGATAAGTTGAGAACGAGATTCGAACCAACAGCCACCAGGAGTGGAATTTGAAACATATGCTGTTGACATGTTATGGCAGCCTGCATTTTGGAACTCACTTTTAAGAAACAGATCTGGCATGGACATGGGCCATGTCTTTCCAGAGTTTGTGTGTGTGTGTTTGTTTGTTTGTTTTTTTTTTTAATGTAGCATCCACAATATCTGCCCGGCCAGATGAAGACTAGTATAGTTTAAAAAAAAAAAAAAACAGCATTTTTAGTAATCTAGTAAAGATATTACTTACTCTTGCCTTTGTATTGTGTAAGGACCACACTGCTTTTTTTCCCTTATTTTCCTGTAATGTTTCACACATGATGGTTCCTTTTAATCACATTTCTTTTTAATCCCACCTCGCATATTCCTGTACGCAACTAAAATGACATAATACGTGCTCCCCCACAAGGTTTGATTGCTTTAAAAAACACTGAAAGGAAAATCCTACAGGCCTGACCTTCACAATAGCTAACTCAGTGGCATGGCATAGACTGCCTGGAAAGTGAAGAACGAGGAGAGGCATAAATTCCTGAGGCAGGGAGATCTGCCATCACCTTGTAGCTCAGCGCTCCCATTGCATCTTCACCACCCTCCATTTACCCCAAGAAGGCTTATAAAGAGCCAAGTCAGCTGCAGAAAGCAGTTGGCTTGGCACAGTTTCTCCTCAGAGCTGGCTATTTCCCAAATGCCGGATCCATCAGAGCCAAACATTTGGGTGTAGCTGGCTCTGAAGAGCTGCACGGAGGATTGGCCCCTCTCTAGAACACCAGGGGGGGACGGGGGGATGTGGGGGACAGCAACAAGGCTCCACATGGTGCTCTATCATCTGATTCTGAGCAAGTGGCCTCACTGAAGTGAATGGAAGGACCACCCTTGGTAGAAGCAATCATCGGAAAGCCCGAAAAACCCACAACAACCATTATGTCATTAGGTTCATTCCTAACTCACACCAGGAAGCCATTTTGACAAAAGGAAATAAGAGAGAGCTGCACATAGAAATCACTGGAAATTTTAATGTAGCAGGTTTTGGAAACAGGTGTGTCCACCCTACCCCCAGAGAGAATAAAGATGTTGGGCCAGAACACCTCAGTGGACGTGAAAGACTGGTTGAGGTCACCAGAGGAAAAGAGGAATGGGACAGAAGAAGTGGAACCAAGATAGCAGTATTCCCCACTGGAAGAGTCTTGCTTCAGGACCCCCAGTTGTGGAGGATAACGTAGATGCCTCTATTCCAGCAACAATTAAAAAGTAATCCTTCATGAGCTCCAAGCTCCAGTATTACATAATGTGATTGGTAGTGGTATCACAATACCAATCACGTTATGTAATACTGGACCTTGGAATAATTGTCTCTTTGGAGTAAATATGTTAACTGGTAGATTCAGTCTCAAAGATAATGATTACTGTGTTAATCGGGCTTGGAGATAAATATATCTCCAAGCCCTACATATATATATAATTACCAGACTCTTCCAGCTTGTATACTCAAGGAACGGGGAATTCTGGGTAGTACAGGCTGAAAAAGTAATTGTTCCAAGCTCTGCTCTGCATCAGTTGTAGCTTCTGAACAGTATTCAAGGAAAGTTCTAAATGATGTCCATTAATGCAGTCTGGCCTTGAGCTCACAGTAAATAAAAACATTAGCCCATAGGTCTTGCATCGTTCACCCTGCTTCTTGTTAATATATTTCGGGCTTGAAAGCATGATTGAAATTTTCAAATAAAGTCAGTCTAACAGCTAACATCGCTCTCTCTCCTCTACCGCCTTTACAGATCTTAAACTTCAGTTATTTTTAACCTTGACATGTTTATTTGCATTTCGCATGCAGATTATGTATGCATACTGCTGTGGGAGATGTTTCCATATGACGGGCTTTGGATTCATGTGGAAAATTTATCTTAAATAGCCAGTTTACTTCCCAAGGTTAGCAATTTGTCACTTTTCTCTGGGACAAAAATTAGCTTTGGCACAGTGGCGGCGGACGGTTTTGTTTTGTTTTTTAATATAAGACACAGATGAATGATTTGGCTTAATCAGTCTGCACACAGCTTGTGTGTCTCCCTATTGTAATGGATTTCCTTGTCACATTTTGTCCATGGAAAATGCAGTAGACCAGCCCCACCCTGTGGTGATGTGGAAGTATCATTTTAAGATGTACTGTTCAAGACAATTTATTTTAGACGAATTCAGTGGGTCCAAACTGAGAAGTGGAAAGAATCTGAAAACTCTGGATAGAGTCTAGGACCCGATAAGGACCATTCTAATCCAACCCTCTTTCTTAGGATCGCCTGAGACTGCTGTTTCCCACTACCAGAAGGCCATCCAGCTTAGCCCCAGTCATCACGTGGCCATGGTGAACTTGGGCAGGTTATACCGTTCCTTGGGGCAGAATAAAGATGCAGAAACGTGGTATAAACGGTGAGGAAGCACAGAAAGTCGATTGCCTTTCTGTAACCTTTAATTTCATAGTATCTGCTTCCAGGGAATCCCATATTTACATCAGGAGAACACAAATGTTTCCTCTCTGAATGAATTTTGCAAGCATTCAGATAATGTAGTTTTATTTTTGCATTTATTGCAATGGGAGTGTTTCAGGCTTTTAAAAATAAAATTTGGAACACTTTCATAGGAGCTTGGGATCAGTGGGAAATCAACTGAAAGGAATCATCATCATCATGTGCTATCAAGTGCATTCTGACTTTTCAGTGTTTTCTAGGTAGAGAGCACTTAGGTTTACATTCTCTTCTTCTGGGAGCATTCTGGGACTCTGCAGCTTGGCCAAGGCTACACAGGTTGGCCCCAGGAGACACAGTGGGGGATTAAGCTCCCAACATCTGGCTCCACAACCAGGTAGTCTAAAATGCTGAGCTGTCCAGCCAGCTAAGTGAAAGGAAAGACAAGTGGAAAAGCTGTGAGAGGTTGAAGACACAAAACACTCCCTTTTGACTAAACAAGGCTTTATGTCTCTTTTGGAGCTTTTAGCAGAAGGTTTTCAGTTCCTCCTGTTTCCTTTCTTGTGCTCAGCCATGCCCTCTCTTTTTTTAATCATTACATTCTTTAGGGCCCTGAAAATAACACGGAAGGCTGAAATCCTGACCCCTTTGGGAGCTCTGTATTACAACACAGGACGATATGAAGACGCATTAAAGGTTTACAGGGAAGCTGCAGCACTGCAGCCATCCAATAAAGAGACCCGGCTAGCCTTGGTGAGTTTTCATTTCCTTTACCTCTGACTCTATCTAATGGCAGTCAGTGAACTTTTGCTAGACACAAGGGCTTCCACTATTCTAACAGCTGGAAAGGGAGAGGGGTGTCAAGTCCCGTGATGACTGTGGCAGATACAGCTTTGTCTTTTGCTTTTCGTAGGCTCAGGTTTTGGCAATGATGGGACAAACAAAGGAAGCTGAACAAATGACCACTCATATTGTGACCGAAGAGGCAGAGTGCCTGGAGTGTTACCGCCTTTTGTCGGCCATTTATAGCAAACAAGAGAACTACAACAAGGTACACTTGCCATGCCAGTGGGAAAGCCCGCCAGTCAAATGTTGGGTTGGGGGAATCAAATTTAGTACAAATGACAATTTGAAACTAGAGATGGGCATGAAGCAGTTTGTCCCAGTTTGTAAAGATGGCAGCACAGGTGGTGGTGCTGCTCCCCTCCTACACCTCCTTTGGCTCTATCAGCCACTAATCAGGCCCAGCGTGAGAGCTTCCTGCTCCTCCTCAACTGATCTTCCAGTCCTGGCAACAGCTCAGGCTTCTCTGCCTCGCCCTCTTGGCTGATCTCCCACTCAGACAAAAGGACGGGGCAAAGAAATCTGTGCTCTTGCTTGTGACTGGGAGATTAGCCAAGGAGGTGGGGAGAACAAGCAAGCTGGGCCTGGGGTGTGGCTGTTTGATCCAGAGAAGGTGGGGAGGGGAGCAGCAGAGATGAACTGGGACAAACCAGTTCATGCCCTTCTCTGTTTGAGATAGTCTTACAAAGATGCATGGCAGTAGGTCTGAAGCCAGCCTTCTGTTTTCACATGGTTTGTACATGGACTGCAGCTAATTGCCCTTGCTGATTGTTTCTGGCTTACCTAGCTGATAGTAGCAAACCCCTTCTCTTCTACTGCCCCCTACTCCCAATCATACCTCCATCTCTCCACCCCAGCAATAAATCTACTGTTTTCCAGGCAGCTACTTTAAGCCATTGTAATGTGTTGTGCCTAATAACTATTTGCACTCCTCTGTGCAAAAAGGCCTAACTCTGAAGAGTCTGGGTTGTGCTGAATGGAGCTAAAAGCAGCTCCGTTTGATTTGTGGCAAGCTGGGAGCTTCCTAAGACGCAACCCTTCAGGATCCTGGCTGCTGTCCCATACTCAGGACATAGCCCTTACTGTTCAGAAAGCTCTCCTGGTGATCACAGGAGGCTTTTAAAGGGACTTTTAGTTCAGGAAAAAAAATTGTCATAGTTAGCCCATGATTAGTTAAGGGAATGCCTTAATTGCTCAAAGCATCAGAGCCCACAGCAGGAGCTTTTCTTACCTCAAGTAATTTGCAAATTACCTTGTTTTGTTTTGTCATCAATCTTGAGGATTTACGCATAGAATCTGATTTCTTAAGCCCCCAACATTTGCCTGGACCATGGCTTTGTTTTACTAAAGTGTTTTAGATGTAATCATGGGCTTTTTTTTCTGTTTCTCTTCTTAGACAGAAAGAGGAGGTGAGAAACTTCATCTTCCAACTTCCTTCCTCATGTGGTTTTTAGGATACAAAATTTTTATTGCTAAAATTTCAGTTTTATGGCCAAAACAAATGTAACAAATTAAAGAATGAAGCAGATAACCGTATTGCATATTGATGCTGCTATTTGCAAGCAGTGGTAAATGTTTTGCATCTTGTAAAGACAACTGTACCTTTTTAAAAGTAACTTTTCCAAACTCTGGTACCAAGTCAGTACCAAGGGAACTGCAGCTCTGAGGAAAACACCTGTTTGTCTTATTCATATATTACCCTACAGGAGACATTTGTGTAATCAACTCTTGGAATAACTATCAAAATATTTTGGGAGTTTTGGTCAGACAACCCATGTTTGTCATTGTGTGTCTGTGTGTTTGTGCAGGCACTTGAAGCCATAGACAAAGCTCTACAGCTGAAACCAAAGGACCCCAAAGTTGTATCAGAGCTCTTTTTCACTAAAGGAAACCAGCTAAGAGAACAAAATCACTTGGACAAAGCTTTTGAGGTAAAAACTCAGCATGAAGTAAAAACAAAAAACGTCATATCCCTTTAATATTAATTGTGTGCTGTCAAGTTAATCTGACATATGGCAGCTCTTTCCAGAGTTTTCTAGATAGAGTACTCAGAAGTGGTTTACCCTTCCCTTCTTCTGAGAGTGCCCTGGGACTGTGCAGCTTGCCCGGGACCACACAGGCTGGTTCTTCTAGGGTGCACAGTGGGGAATTGAACTCTCAGTCTTTGGGTGATACCTAACTCAGTGACATAATACTGTACTTAGTCTTTAAGGTGCTTGGTACACAGTACATTCATATGAGCACATGTCTTTGAGGACTGTAAAGCAATGAGCTACCCAATGAAAGAGGTAAATTCCATACCCTCCTTTCCCCAGTTTGCTGCACTGGAACTACTTGTACCTTTATTTAGAAAAGGGGGTCTAATTATTCATTCAGATTCCCTTGGAATCTTGTCTGCCTATGTGTGCATGCTTGTTTTCATGATGATGAATGTGTTTAAATTATATTGCTAAATGCCCCAGTGCTCTTGGTATAGGAGCTTCTGCAACAGAATAATGAAGTTGGAAGTTGCCTATAAAGCCATCAATTCCATGCTCCTGGTCAATGCAAGAATCCAAATCAAAGCAGATCTGTTAGATGGTTGTCCAATTTTCTCTTGAATGCTTCCAGCGTTGGAGTGCTCAACACCTCCCAATGTAATTGGTTCCATTGTCGTACTGCACTAACGGTTAGGATGTTTTTCCTGATATTTAGACAAAATCTGGCATCTTTTAACTTGAACTCATTGTTGCAAGTCGTGCACCCTGTAATGATCAAGAACAGCTCCTGCCCCTCCGCTGTATGACAGCCTCTCAAGTATTTGAAAAGTGCTATCATATCTCCCCTCAGTCTTTGCTTCTCAAGGCCCAGTTCTTTCAGGTTTTCCTCATAAAGCTTGGTTTCCAGCCTCCTGATTGTCCTTGTTGCCCTCCTCTGAACTTGTTCCAGTTTGTCAGCATCCTTCTTGAAGTGCATTGTCCAGAACTGGACACAGTATTCAAAATGAAGCCTAATAGAGGGGGACTAGCACCACATGGGATTTGGGGACTATGCTTCTATTATTGCAGTCTAAAATAGCATTTGCCTTTTTTATAGCCACATCACACTGTTGGTTCATACTCAGCTTATTATCTACAACTCACAATATCGTCCTCCAACCGAGCATAAACCCCAATATTCTCTCCCGTTTGTAATCCAAGGTGGAGCAGAGCCTCGCTCCTTCCCTCATGTATATATGTAACCTCTTCAGCTGGCTTTCTATAAGAAATTGTCCTTTATTTCTTTCCTAGCCCCTTCCTCCAACCTGCATTTCATGAGAGACAGCCTTCCATACCCTGCAGAATGATATCCCTTGTCGACAGGGGAAAATATCATGAAACTCTCTGTGGAAATACTAGTAAATATAAACCAAGAGGAATGTCAGTGAAGTTCTTTTCTATCCTTTTATATCATGGGGCCACTAGCTGATGTTGAACTACAACTCCCATCATCCACAACATTGCCAGTGGCAAGGATTTCTGAGAAGAACAGCCCCCAGATATCTGAGGGCCAGGCTGCCACGTAGTCCCACGAAGATTTTCACCATGTGGCTGCAAGTGATCTAACATTTAGTTTCTGTTTTCATTTTCATTAGAGCTATAATGTGGCTGTAGAGTTTAATCCAGAGCAAGCACAAGCCTGGATGAACATGGGAGGGATTGAGCATATCAAGGTAAGAAAATTGACAAATCTCATTTTCATCCTTTTCAGAAAATGTTAGTAAATGATCCCTATGTAAATTTACAGTGCTTTCAGGGTAGTTTACAATCCTAAACATATTCTTAGTACAATAAAACTGGGGACAATAAAACAAATCTTTAGAAGAAGGGTTGAAGAAGAAGAACTTTTAACTCTCTTGGTGTTGCTGGAGTACCACTGTAAATCAGCCCAAGCTATGGGTCGCTCTGGCCGGGGCCAGTGGGAACAGCTACACTCGGAGGGCCATGGATAGCTGTCTCCTGATTAAAACAATATTTTATAAAACAGTAAAGCAGCAGTTACCCTTGAAACACCATTGAAAGTTTGAAGGAATAAAAGAGAAATTGGCTGCCAGCCTAAAACCTGTGAAAGATGGAGCCAGGAGAAGTTCCCTCAGAAAGGAAGTTCACTCGGGATATTGCCATTTGTTTTACTGCCAAATCTAATTCTCTGGATTTCCCCCCTTTTTTCTTTTATGTCATTAAAAGAGAAAGACAAAATAATCAAAAAAGGAACAGAAAACAACCAAACCTGAAGATCACATTGGTTGTATCAGGCCATTAATGTAAAATGTACTTCATGAGGTAAACGGTCCTCATAAAATTGCAATAAGACTCTTAGACAGATTTCCTATAAATGAAGGGTTTTCGGGAAAGTTCCGTTTAAAAAAATGCCTATTTTGACAGTCAAAGGCATAGAGAAGAGCCGAGGATGATGACTGTGGTTGATGGTCAAACTAGATCAAATGGTCAGCTCAAATTTAGAACGTGATAGATCATTTTCCCTATTATATTGATGGGGTTTCCTTAGAGGTGGCTTCCTGAACTCTCTATTTGCATATTAGGGCCTCATTTACTTCCTTACAACAAACAGGGAAGAAGAGGAAGTTGATGTGTGAGATACTACAGTAAGAACAGCTGTCTTTTACTACATAAGGGAGCTTCACTTCTAAATGTGATTTGAACACCTTGTCCAGTTCGACTCTCTGAGAGGCAGGTTCATGAGGGAGTAGCCAATCCTTCAGTTTTCCTGCCTCTGAGTCACTTGGGGATTTAGCATGTCAAGGGAAGAAAGGTCACAAATTTTACAACAGTCTTTGGAGATTTGTTCTGAAAAGGTTGAAAGTCCTCTAGAAACACCATACATTAAGCATCCTTCGGTCTTGAGAGACTATGGTATCGTGCTCTGTATGGAGGACTTGGAACAGCGTCTAGTGTGGGTGAGAAGGCCAATTCGAGAGTGACAATCCCTTCCACACTGAAGAAACACCAGACTATGATTAAGAAAGCAATCATGGATAAGTATAGTGACAAAAACTGTCAAAAAGTGTGGCTGCTGGGAGAATAATGAACGGAACACCAGACTGTTGTCACTATGTTGATCCTATAGCATGTGAGACAATTCCTTTCACATGGACCACTTAAAATAAAAATAATTATAATATGTGCATAGTTACTGTTTTTAGCTTTTAAATGTTATCTTTTAATGATGTAAGCTGCTTTCTATAGGGAGAAGGGTAGGATTAAAAATATTCAAATAAACACGTGAAAAATTCACTCTCCTTTCTGTAATGCCTTCTATGGTGTGTTATAGGAAAGTGGTTAAAGAGTTAACTGACTCTGTATAGAGCAGTGGCTCTCAAGCTTGGGCTATGGCTTCCAGAAAGCTTGAACAATGTCTTTGTTAACTAGGTTTTCGGGGATTTGTACTCCCAGAGCACCTTATGCCTAAGTGGAAGAATAATTGCTTCTGAAGCAGTTCTTTATTGAAGTTATGTAATGTTTCCTTTTTATAGAGAGGGGGTGAGTAAGTACATATACTTGCTACAGAGGGTGAACCAATAAATAACACAGAGGGTGTACCAATAAATAACATTACATGACCAAGACTGGCATTAATTTTGCATCTGCAATGTTATTTTCATAACACCAAATTTATTGATGGCATTTTGTGTCATTTGGTTGGAAAAGTAATGAATTCAAGCATCTATGCATTAAAATTAATGTCCTGTTTCCAAGCTTTCATAAATAACTAATGAAGAAAAAGATGCAAAAAATAAACAGATGTTCTAGGTGTGAAGGCCATGTAGAATATTGATACCTGAAAGAGTTCGACTGAACAAGGCTGACGGGTGGTGACACTTCAAGAAACAAGATAGATGACTGATGCTTCATTCCCCTCCCCATCTTCATTTTTTCAGGGCAACTACATCGCTGCACGAAACTATTATGAGAAAGCTTTACAGCTTGTTCCAAACAGCAAACTGCTGAAAGAGAATTTAGCTAAATTGGATCGCTTGGAGAAGAGGCTACAGGGAGCTCAAGAGAGAGGATAAACAGCATGAGCTCAATGAGTGCGTTCTGCAAGAGTCACAGTTTTCCTACAACCAGACGTCAGCTGAAAGGAACTGCGGGCCTGACCCCAGAATAAGAGAAGTGTACATGAGGATCACAGTTGAGTCACCAAAGCTACAGAGACTTGCTGTTTGTCTCTGGATGTGCTCTGGAAAGGACTGAAATCCAATCTTCTGAATCTATATTTGGGTAGATTTGTCATATAGCAAGAAATACATATGTAATGTCCAAGGGTTACACTCATAAGAAGGCTTGATTCATCAAAGATAAAAAAAACAGTTCTTGTAATATAATCTTGCTTTAAGGAGTAGTTTAACAAAACTCAGCCCACGAGATCTAGAAGATAGCAGTCAAAATCAATGAAGTAAAGTGGGAGAAAGCAGGAATGGCAATGGGTGAAGGAGAAATCAGCCTTCTTTAGTGTCCTCGGGGATTCTTATATTAATTCCTGAGGTGTAATATTCTGCCATCCGAGAAAAAAACTAGTAGAACTGGTTCTCAAGAGTCTTTAGATCACAAGTGCAAGTCAAGGAGAAGCCTGAATGCGAAATACATACAAAGCATTTTTGGGACAGTTTACATGTATGGCATAATATAATGGTTTGAGTTCAGCTGCGTGTTCTTTTTTTTTTCTCCTCAGAATAATTTAGGGTTTTTGTTTGTTTTACTGGAAGGGGAAAACTAAACCATTGGGTGGTAGGTCTCAACACTTTCAAACAGTTTATCTGAGTAGCTCAGTGATCCTAGGGGATTCACCATTGCACCTGAAAAAAAAAACCTATAGCCTGAATGCGAAATACATACAAAGCATTTTTGGGACAGTTTACATGTATGGCATAATATAATGGTTTGAGTTCAGCTGCGTGTTCTTTTTTTTTTCTCCTCAGAATAATTTAGGGTTTTTGTTTGTTTTACTGGAAGGGGAAAACTAAACCATTGGGTGGTAGGTCTCAACACTTTCAAACAGTTTATCTGAGTAGCTCAGTGATCCTAGGGGATTCACCATTGCACCTGAAAAAAAACTATTTAGAATGTTCAAACTAGTATATAAGAATTGAGATTCTTATCCATGCATATCCCTTTCTGTGCACACTGTATTTCTTTCTCCGATGATAGATCCTTGTGCTTCCTCATCCTTTGGCCTAGAAGCAGATCTTGAGTTTGGGGTGCAATTTGTGAGATGGTTGTATGGAAGCATCTGTGAGAAGCACCTCAGAAGGTCTACTGGGTGCTCAGAAACCCTGGCAGGCCATCTGGTGCCTTGGTTGGTAAGAGGGCTTTTCTTTTTCTCCCCCCCCCCCGCTCACTCTGCCCCCATTGTTCACTATGTTCATGATAGTTGGACGGAAGTGAATCAAGAGATTTTAAAAGCACCTTTTTCTTCATCAGACAGAATTGTCACTTTCCTGTGTCTCATTACTAAAAGAGAGAGAGGCCAATTGAATCTCATAGGCAAGGATTATCATGGCACAGATGTTGGGGGCTCAACATTTTTCATGCCACTTATTTAACATAATGAAAATGTTACATATTTAATTTTCCTCTTTGTCAAGTTTGATGGCATTTTTAATGACTGGAAATGTAGCTAAACTTGTGGGTGTTGCTCCTATTTTTGTGAAGTTAGAGAAGGTAGCAACCACAGAGAAGGTGTGTAGGTTAATCAGAGTTTAGACAAGTTCCTTTTTTGAACTACAGCTCCCGGAATCCTCCAGCCAGCATGGGCAGTGTCAATGTTCATTGGGGAATTTGGGAAGTTTTTTTAAAAATTTAACTTTTTCAAGCTCTGATATTAATTACTCTGTTAAAACTGCTTCAGGAATCAGATGCCTCAGAGTCTGGTAGAGTCTCATCTCGGTATCTTTGCTCCATTGGCTGAATAAAATGGCATCCTGTTCAGATGACAATTCCTCCTGCTTCTGAAAGGCTTCAGACCAACATGTATTGATGGGGTTTATGATGTTAAGCGACCCACTGTTAACAGATGCATTTCATGTTGGGTTATGTGAACAGAATTGTAGATATTCTGAGAAAGAGATGCTGTAGGCCTGTGCTTCATAGCATGACTCTACCAAATTATGCAGCTCTGTCAAATTTGTCTTGTACTGTTCCAAAAAATTGGCCATGCTGAGCAAATTTTGATACACTTCCCTATCAAAACATCCACGATTCAGTGGCCATGTTGAGGGAGACAGATGATAGTTGTAGTTCGAAACATCTGAAGGCTGCTATGTTAGGAAAGACTGTTTGAAAATGTAACATTTAAATCATTTTAGTCAGTAAATGAGTATCAAAGACCAATTGGGAACTTACCATAATATCCATATAACTACTGCGAAAGCATCTTGTTTGTATCAACCAAATATCAAGGATATTTTTCCAAAAAACCTGGGAAATGATGAATTATTCTTTACAGGGCAAAGCCTATCCCATTTGGTAAATGTCAATATCCACTTTTGCTATAGGTGATAAGCTTTAGGAGAGTTGAAGTATAATTAAAATGCCTCAAGCCAGTCTAGAGTGGTGGAGATGCAGATCTTTGGGTTCTTAGACTTCTATTATGAATTGCACCAACCATCACAGAATTTTATGGAATGATTGCATCGTCCACTTGTGTGTTTTCCCAGCAGTTCTCCGTCTCTTTCTTATTAAAAAATAAAAAGTTGAGAATAAAATAAAAAAAAAACCCAGAATGGATGCACAGTGCCTTTGGATTAGTCCCTCTAGGGGCCATTTTAGAAGCACCTTTCCTTGAGAAAAGGGATGTTACCCAGTGTGGCCTTAATAGTTGGGACAACACAGCTTGGTGCCTAGAAAGCTGGACTCAGGCTCCAAATCTGTTGTGGACGTGAACAAGATGTTAAGTGGTAGACTCAGTTTTCCATCCATAAAACAGGAGTAGCAAATGTTTGTTTCGTAGAAACATTGAGACAGTACGGAAACATTGAGCAAATGCAGTAAGGGAATTACCTGCTTACGTTAAAAATATTGACTAAAATGGCATATCAGAAGAAGAGGCTCATGTTGGATGCAAAACAGAGCTTCTTTTACTTAAATTATTGACCTCGCCCTGAATTTCAGGATTGGTTACTGCAGAAAACTTTGTGAAAATATAGTTCCCCAAGAGTTAAAATTTAATTAATTTATCATTAAAATCCGCTCTATCATCCCATTTTTTTAGCATGTTAAATAGTTGTTAGATTGACAAAATACAAGCCCACTGCATTACATAAAGTAAAGCAGTTGTGACAAACACAGCACAATAGTTTTAATGGATAAGTCCTACTGAAATAAAGAACTTCTGGCTAGATTGTGCACAATAAGTCTTAGTCCTGTGAAATTACATACATTTTGTAAACATTTATGGAAAGCATTTCTGAGCCTTTTTCTCCCCACTCCTAGTGTGTATGAGCAAGAGGTAATTTTTTAAAGGAGATTTTATTTTATGTTTTTAAATGCTTGTATTATCTATTACTTTAGGTTAGTTGATGAGAGAAAGTTACAGAGAGAGAATCTATTCCCCAAATAAAAATGTAAACAGTTTGAAATGTACTAATTGCTTTGCCCTTACACACTTCAAACAAATTAGTTGTGTATAAATGTATATTCTGTTGTTTTTAACAGAGCTTTGTCACAATGAATTTTACCTTAATTGGGGCCACTATCTACATTGCCACAAATGGAAACTCTTATTATTAAGCAGTGAAATATATTAACATCAGTTAGTAGTAAACCACCTGCCCAAACTTTCTCTTACTTTGCAAACCAACATGTCTTGATAGAAGTTTGAAGCCTAATTTCAACATACAGAGGACCCTCGACTTACAGACGGCTCGACTTACAGACTTTTCGAGTTACAGACTTCTCTAGCAGCAAAATTTAGATTCGACTTGCAGACGGAGAATCGACTTACAGACCAGAAAAAAACCAAAATGGAACAAAAATAGAATAAAAACTGCCAGTTATGGGATTAATCGGTTTTCAATGCATTGTAGGTTAATGGAAACTCGACCTACAGACTTTTCGACTTGCAGCCACCATTCCAATACGGATTAATTCCGTAAGTAGAGGGTCCACTGTATCTGAAGACAGAATAGTGAAGATACTTCATAAAGAGATTAGATTAGTAAAACCAAGGAAATGTCATTATTCATAATTTTGCAAATCAGGTGGATGGATCTAGAATGTGAACATTACATTTATTTTTAAATTTGCCTATTCTAAAGAAAATATATATATTGTTAAGGAGCAGTCTCTGGGAAATCTATCTTTGTGCTGAGACAGAAGCATGCTTTTCTGCTGTTATGATGATAACGGTTGAACAAAACTGTCTTGCTTTCCTTCCCAAAGCAAACAATAATTGTTGTTGTTGCACGTATGTGTTCTCCTGCATATACATACTTTCGCCTTGGCCAGGAATTGAGAAGGAGGCATTGGAAAATTGAATCCCCAGAAGGAACTAGATAAGTAAGGGCAGCTAGAAAGTTGTAGGCACAAACAGTAAAAAAATACTACAATCCATTAGGGTTACAAAAATAAAAATAATTTTTAAAAGGCAGGCATTCATCTGCATATAAGACTGGTATTATTATTAGAACCAGACATTTCATTAATGTGTGTGATGAGTCTTCGCTGAAAGGTACCCTTGGGCCTTCTACATGAGCTTATCTGACTTGCTGTTATAAATTTTGGCACAAAGCATTGAAGGAGGAAAGTCATGTTTATTTCAGCTTGCTCTGCATTGAATTTCATAGAATTTGAGTGGCATCTCTTTTAAGTCCTGTATGTTTCTCCAGCATGCAACAGCCCCATGTCAGTATTATGCAAGGAATGTTAGATGTAAGTCCAAGCAACTTCTGATCGCCACCTTCCCAGAAACATTTACTCAATTGTGGCAGGTAGACTGTTTGTACTTTTCAGAGGCCCACGGCTGGAATCAGGCCTTTGAACTCGGCTTTGCAAAATTACCTGAAGTATTTGGAAGAAAAGAAAAGAGATAGAGAGGCTTTAGATGTGTACACGGACCACACCGCCCCTCCCCCCCTTTCGTTGATCTTTGAAAGAGACACTTTAGGGTTACTGTATAATGCCTGCCTTCCTGCATTTCTCCTGCAGTAGCAGTTTATGGATTTAAGTGTCAAGGAAAAGTGAACTGATATGTGTAATCAGTATTCTGGTGCGGTAACTGCAGGTTTACTGAAGCATGCACACAAAAGAAGCATGAGTGAAACTTTTTAATAGCAGGAGTCCACTGATATAAGTGTTTTGTTTAGATGAAGGCCAGTTTGGTAGAATCACTTTTAAGAGATGGCCTAATTTCATAGCAACATGTTTCTCATGCCCAGTTTCACTATACTGATGGGTCAGAGTAATTGGCAATAAAATAGACCTTATTTTTGAAAATATAAGGAAGTATTCTCCCTCTTTTTCCCCCCTACAGATCATATACTAAATGCAACTATAAATACTGTGTCGTCTTTTCTGCTTCTGGTAATATGCTTAACTTGCAAAGCCTATATTTTGAACCCATTTTTTTGCCTGTCAAAAAAGAGTTGCTGGATGGTTCTCTTTTCTCTGCAATTTATGTGGTGTTTTGCGATCAGGTTGGTACGGACATCAGCTGAATCTCAAACCAAGGGCTGACAGTGAGAAGAAAAATTTAAGGCTGTTGAGATGATAAATGTTAGTCTCAGATTGAAACTAGATTGAGATGAAAAGAGAGTTTGGCATACCTGCTTCACAGTGAAGCCCTATGGTTATACTTTTATTTGAATGCAAGGGTGAATCATTGTAGCTTAAACACTATACAGTACCTAAAATCATGTGGCAGAAATACAAGCACATGAGTGCAATTACACAAGAAGCTTTTGGACTATGTCAGCTGTCATATTTCCAGGTGTGTGACCCAAGCACATCAACCACATGATGAACAGCTGGGAAGATTTTGCGGATGGATAATCCACAAATCCAGAAGGATTCTGGCACATAGCTTTAATCTAAAAGCATATTGTTTATATACCACCTTAACAATTTCCGTCTGATCGCTGATATATACCATTTCTGGGCAAGGTGATTGAGAGAGTGGTGGCAAATTGGCTGCATTCATACCTTGAGGAACAGGATTGCCTTAACCTATTCCAGCCTAGATTCAGGCCACAACAGGGTACTGAGACGACACTGGTTGCACTACAGGATCACCTTTTAAGGGAGGCTGATGGGCAGATGCATCCTCTTAGATCTCTCATTGGCTTTTAATGCAGTTGACCACAGTATCCTCCTGGACAGGCTCTCCGAGGTTG